AAGATTTCCCCTTTTTGAAAATCCAACAGCGTAACGTCTTTTGTCGTCACGTGTACAAGGAAATTTGATAACCATAAAACTTATGTCGGGAAAAATTACATTTAACTAAGAAACAGCAGTTAAAGTATGGTTTTGAGGAACAGCCGGACACTGTCATCATTCGCGCGAAGTACGTGGCTATACCGCAGTAGATGAGCTTCGCGCAAATTTGTCAGCAATGAGGATTACATCAAAGCGTTCCCGTACGAAGTCATTGCGAACACAGTGGGGCGCTTCAGCTCCTCTTGTCATACGCCAATAGTCAGCGCCACACAGCAGCAATGGAAAGCAACAACCGCGGAGATCAGAATCACGGCATTCGGTATGCCCTCTAGTTCATGTATTCAACAGCGAATTATAACCAAGAAATTGAAAGTGATGGTGGAACACGGACGAGAATTTGAAAACAAACAACACGCACCAAAACGAGCTTTGGCGCCTCAGGGCATTTCCTCTTCTTACACTGTTCATCGGAACCACTAGAAGATGCCGAAGAGCTACTGGAAGAGCGCCTCGATCGACTTTTCCTTAAGAAAAAATTGCAAACCTTGTACACAACAATGAGAAAACACCATACTTTTTTCGAGTGCTGCGATCTTCGGAGGAATCCGGCGAACTCGATGATGAGGAAGGAGTTCTGAATGCTTGACGCGTTATTATATGTGACGTGTATAACGAAATGAATAATGGCTACCTCGTTCGCTTCACTCGCTTCTGCTTTTGATTTCGCCGCTTAGACTTTTTGGACTTCTTCTTCTTCTTAGAAGTTGGTAAATCCACCTTAGGAACGCTGATTGGAGCGAAATGAAGCGCAGGCGACTCAACCTAAAGTGAGTGAAGATGTAGCCAATAATGAATTTGCTGAAGTTAAATAGGACCTAGTAAAGAGAAAAGAGCCTAGTAAGAACCCTGCCTTTCACTTTGTCCAAAGGCGCTGTTAACAAACACTGAGTTTTGAACGAGAATGAAACTCAGTTCTCGATTATTCCTAACTCCGAACACCTTAACAGTAACTAACATACGTGGACTTGCACATCATCATCATCGTCGTCATCGCTGTATATATATCGAATAGCGGCCTCATTTTTCCTCCTTTCACGCATCTTTTCTTCTTTTGCTCTTTTTTCCTTCTGTAATTGATGAAATGAATACGTTTGAAAAAAGTCCACTTGAATACAAAAATATTTGATCGCCATAAGTAGCTCACTAGAGCGCGGGCTTCCAATATTCTTTGCGGATCGAACGAAGAGTAGTTGCTGTCGTCGTCACATTCACCATCTTCCCTTTCTGCAGGGGCAGGTTCAGCGTAGGCCGGAAACATTGTCCCTGAAGAAAGCTTACAAATTGCTACATCAAAGCCACTGTGATATGATGCGTGACCACGGAAGTTTCAACAAGTAGTTTGCAATGAGTGCACACTAATCGCTTTGAAAATGCGCGATAGCCCAACCGCCGAGGCAGCCTTCATAGTTGGCGATCGTATATGCTATTGGACAGTTAAGCGAAGAAGCGAGTAGTGTGAGGGGAAGAATGCATATGTATCAAGCGAGCAGACATCATCCGTACTCATTGGGATGCTCCGCCCACTGAACGCTCGCATAATCGCTAATCGCCTACTCGTCTCCTCACCTAATCGACACATACTTTTCTTTTTTAAATCGCGCCTAATTACCTAATCGCGCATACACTGCGAAGTGTGACCGCTGCCTGAACGATGATTCGAACGAAGTTGTGGAAGTTTGGCCCAACACTGTTTGCATGCAATCACATGAAGGCGCTCTCATCCAGGCGATGTAAAATTGTTGGGATAGTAAGGGTGGTGGTGATCCTGTCTAAAATGCGAGAGGTCGTGAAATGGTGCGACGTGACGCTTGTTGTTGTGCATTTTTGACAATACGGCTTGAAAAACTTCGAAAAAATTATTCCATCAAGAAGAGCTAACAGTTGCCTGTGCCAGTTTCAAGCAGCTCGTTACAGATGTGGTCACCAACTTTCCATGACTGTAAATGACGTTCATACCTCAACACGTTGACGACATAGCGCGATTTGGCTCTTTCGGCCGCATGGGCCGGCGCGATGCTAGCGTGTCCGCCCCACCTCCTATCAATGTATTTTGAGTGGTAAATACCTAAAACCTGGACACTGCAAATAAGTTCAACAACATTCAATGTCAGATTCAGATTATCCGGAGATAAAACCTTAGAAATTTTACCAAACGGACGTATTGTAGCTAGAAAAGCAAATTTCACTTCCTTTCGCTGCAGTGATTTTAAAACAATTCTGGACTTGCTTTTTTTCATTTAAGATATGCTTTATCGCCGGAAGGTTTTTTATTAAAACATATATTTTGTCGATCGAATAGGTTGGTAACTACTTCGATACTCCTTTTTGTACACGTGTCCATGTCGATGAAAAGAAGAGAAGGGTGAATGAAACGAAATTTTTGAAAGACTAAGCAAAACGTGCCAAACTAGAGCATTTTAGACCATTCTGTGAACCACGTCTTTTACAATTATGCTAATGCATGGTCTACAGAGTGAATTTGAAGAAGCCTCGGGAAGAAGGGAC